TTAATAAAACTGGTTTATTCCTTCCGAATACAACTCTGCGACACACTTAATCTCAATACTCGCGCTAAAACAACACTGTAACGAACGAACGTTATCTTCAACAATACCGTGTGACTACAGTTCAATTACTCACTATCTCTGACTGCACACACATTACCTTCCCCGCTTTTATACCAGCGTAACCTATTTCTAGTAAGACCTTGAACATTCGACAAAGTACATGATAATTCTAGAAACGTTGCGTCACGTGGTCATGTGACTCGCTGACGCAACACAATATAACTGGAACTTATTTAAAAAAAAGAAGATATTTTCAAAATTTTTTCTCTTTATTGTTTTTAATAGTCAACCAAACATACGACAGTTGTTACCGTGATCTGAATACGAATATCTCTGAATGTATCAAGCCTCTTCAGCGCTTGCCTCGTCACGGAAAAGAAGAAAATAGGAAAGACTTGTGTTGGTGAGTGCGACACCATTCTTGATGAAGAATGATCATCCGATAACACTAGTAGTGAGTAAGGGTTCAGGGTTTACACTTATTAAACACATTACTATAGGATAATAGTAATCACAGGAGGAAAATAGAAAGTTTATTTTCCAAAGGCATTCGTATTTTAGGGTTTCTTAAGTTGTAACACGCTATTTTAGAAGTAGTATAAGACAAATATAACGTCTAACGTAGAATTTACACATTTAAAACAGCAACTTTGTAGACTTATTGTCTATTTATAATTAAGCACAAAGCTACATAATGGGCTATCTGTGCTCTGCCCACCACGGGTATCGAAACCCGGATTCTAGCGTTGTAAGTCCGCAGACATACCGCTGTGCCACTGGGGGCTTGTAGACTTAATTAATAGGAAGTCATTTCAGTCACTGTTGTACTGCCAGTAATACCTTCATCATTCATGTATCTTAACAAATGTTTATGGAATTTTATGCAATTCTGGAACCATTTGATGTTTTGTTTTAGCAATTTAATAACCGAAATGTTTATTATAACTATGATTTATTTTGTTCTAAAGATTAAACAAATTATGTTAATATTTCACATCGAAAGAACAAACTAGACACAGTGGTAATGACATTTTTGTGACATTCCAGTGCCCGTAACGTGACACTGAACTGTGTTATCAGTGCTGTGAGAAAAACTTGTAATCAGAAGGCAGTGAAGTTTGCTCAACTAATGCTCCAGATGGTGACGCCATCTTTAAACTCAACTTGTGCGGCTATTTCAGATGACTACTGTTCAGGATCGAAGATGTTCTTTCTCATCAATTCAGCTTTTGGTGTTTGTGTTGTTACTTTCTTAATTTTAATTTTTCACACTCATTGGTGTTTCTGTAGTTAAATTTCATGTAATTATTATTGTAGTTATGAAAGACGTATGTCTTTGAAAATGTTAAGGATTCTTTAATAAATAATGTTTCTCAAACCATTGTATTTTTCTGACGAATCTTAACTTCATTTAGAAAATCACGCGCTCTCTATATTAATAACTTGTTTATTAAACCTAATCACAGCACCAGTTATTTCCAAATAGAATGTACAACTAGTAACCCCTGTTGTCACCCGGTGGGACAGCGGTAAGTCTTCGGATTTACAGTACTAAAATCAGTGGGTTCGATTCCCCTCGATAGACACAGCAGATAGCCCAATGTGGCTTTGCTATAAGAAAACACACACATATTAATCCTCTTATCTTATAAAGAAATCATTATTCTACGTAACGACAAGAAGACGTGAGTACTGTAGAATTAATTGGAAGTTTTTTTAAGGGCATAAACATTTGCAATGCGACGAAACGTTTATAAATACCTTATTTATATACATATTCTCTACGCAATTTCCCCCTTTTTAACGTTGTCATGTTGGTAGCTTTTCATTTCTATATTTATATATACATACATGTACAACAAAAACTCGCACACACATACATACGTAAAAACAAACTTGCCGACACAAATTACAATGAGACATCCCCATATAAGTTTGTGTATGTTGCTAAACCGTTACCTCATCCAAGTAAATGAATAAAAACTCTATAATCCGAGCGCTTTCGAAAGGCGGACCTTTCTTCTTCAGGAGCAAACTCTATCAAGACTTCTTGAATCTACGTGTTTTTCTAACATCATGAATTTATCCAAGTAAACATATGGTTGACATTTACTTACTGCGTAATATGTAATACCAACAAACATTATAGTACACCTAACCAGCTTATATTTACCACAGTTTAACGTTCAAAGTTTTTTTCCGAGTTTAATAAAGTCATATTTTGTACTACGTTCTAACAGACACATATTACTTACTGTCTAATATTGCTGATACACACAGTACCGCTTAAAATAATGTACAAAAAACTGTTTGTTTGCTGTTAAGCACAAAGATACACAATGGGTTATATGTGCTCTACTCAACGCGGGTATCGAAAAACTAGATCGTTAGCGTTATAACCCCTCAGACTTAGCGCTGAGAGAGCGGGGGACAATGAAAATATTAGAGTATAGTTTCATCTAAAACTTTTTATGTTTGTTTTGGAACTAATTATTATAAAATAATAACAGTGTACCTCTAAACGCGGTATGTTAGTTTTTCCATGTTTTACACATACAGATATATATACGCACACACACGTATTTCTTTAACACATCTACAATTAGAATTACTACTATGCCTTCATTTGTGTATTTTGTTAATCGCTCGAACTATCCATAAAGCCCTCGAGACAGTTAATATTTTCCATTGTTTTGATAAAAGTGACCATCTGAATAATTGTTATTGCAAGCGCCAAAATCGAGAAAAAGGAATTAAACATGTGACAAAAACTGCCCACTGATTAAATGATAATGTTTCGCTAAGTGCAAAACATGATCCAAAAAAGTTGACACTGTATTAAAAAAATTGAAAAGGAGGGAGAGAGAGAGAGAAAGAAAATTTTGTTTGTTTATTCACCTAAGCGACATCGTATGTACAGAATGGGCTAAAAACGGCCACTAGAGAGACCTCTAGGGCGCAGGTACCTAATTTTAAAATGGAGATCGGAGAGGAGGCAACCTGTGAGTATCACCCTACTTACTCTCAACGGTTTTGTTTTGTTTGTTGTAAAGCGCAAAATTACACAATGTGATATCCGTGCTCTGCTCACCGAGGGTATAGAAACCCTATTTTAAGCGTTATAAGCCCACTGACTTATCGTTGAGCCACTTTGGGGGGGGGGGGCTCTCATCGGAGTAGCAGGACTGATTGTCATTCTTATAATGATTCATAGCTAACAGTGTAGAACGTATTCTGAGTAGTAAACTTTGGTGTGTATATATATATATATATGCTAAGATAAAATATTGTTTGCATCAGAATTTCGTACAAAGCTATACAGTTGCTAAAAGAAAAAAAAACTTGTGAATAGTAGAGCCACGGCAACAATTGTAAACATCTTTAATGAACGTTTCTGAATTACACATATTCCATCTATAGCAAATCTATGAAAATAACGAATCGAACAATCTTTAGTATAATTAATAATATAAAAATACAATGAATGTTATTGGGAAATTATAAAGTCCAAGCCTCAATAGAAATTCAAACTCGTTCCCACTAGCTCTATTCAAATTATTCTATATTAGTAATTATACTAAAGATTGTCCAATTCGTTATTTTCATTTATATTTTGTAATTGCAAAATGTTCATTAAAGATATTTACAATTGTTGCTGTGGTTCTATTATTCATTATCAGACTTCGTTGTCTACCAAATGAACCAAAAGAGCACGTGACGGGCGATAAGAATACTACAGATGCTAGGCAGTATCCATGTAGCAGCATCGTAACAAATAGGCAGTTCTGAAATAAGTAAACGTGAAGGGAATCATACGAACGTGCATAGAACTATTAGGAGATTTTCAAGTTGCACGCATAACGTTAGGTATAGGGCGAAGCTGGCAGGTTGTTTAGAATAGTGCTCTTTGTTCTCCCTGTTGATAAAGTCAAGTAAATTACGATTTTTATGACATTTATACACCCCGTTGTTTTGTCTCTGTGAGTTTAACCTAAACAAAGGAATGAATGAATGTTTATTTTAGTACAAAGCTACAGAATAGGCTTTCTATGATGTGTCAGCCGCCTGGATCGAACCCATAATTATAACGTTTTACTACTGGGTCATCGAGGGACCCTGAATAAAGATTTTATTTAAATAGTAAATTTGATTAACCAGAAATTCATGACAAAAACGACCTTGACGTTTTCTTATAAAGAAATTAGTATTGAATTTATTTGTAATTTTTTAGCACAAGGCTGTACAATGGGCTATCTATGCTGTGTGTTTGTGTCTTGGGGATCGACCCTCGAATTCTAGCGTTATAAATCTTCAAGTTTACCGTTGAACAATCGAGGGGCGTGACTGTGGAAAAATAAGTTAGTATGTTAAATCAGTGTTTAAGTCTGACGTCCCATTTTATCTATCTATCTATATATATATATATATATATAGAATAAGCAACAAAATCTGTTG